ATATATATATATGCGTTTATGTATATCCATAATCCCTTTTATTCGATTATGCTTTTTATTTTTGTTTTGTCCATTCCCATGTTTGATTACTTACCAAAACCAAATACTGTACTGTACAATCAATTCGATTATTTCAAATAACCCCTTTTTTTAGCGAAAAAATCAGATCAGATTTATAAATAATAGGTTGTTTATATAATCATAATGTTATCATTTGAAGGGATGATTATCGTTGTTTATTAATATGATGCACAAGTCCTTGAGTTTCGGCCGAACACCGATGCGGTTTTCCGAGTGGGATTTTGAACACAGGTGTTTAGTTCTTTAACGAGTTTGGCTGCATGATTGATTCTTTTTAGTAGGCCTATCTTTCCTGTATTACACGTGTTTGAATAAAAAATGAACAGCTTCAAAATATGGATTGTAAAACTGGTAGCCGGCCACCTAGGATTATACAATTATTACGGTACCGTTGATACAAACGCGGTTGAATTTTAGGATATATTAGCTGATAATGATATTGATGATGTTATGGTGAGGGCGAAGGTGATGGCGACGGTAATGATGACAGTGATAATGATAATGATATTGATGATTGATGATGATGATTGATGATGATGATGATGATGATGATGATGATGATGATGATGATGATGATGATGATGATGTGACGATGATGGTGATAGTACAGTAATTGTGAAGATGATGAAGATGATGATATGATGATGTTGGTTATGAAGATGATGATAATGGTGGTGATGAGGATTACGATGGTAACGATGATGATGATGTGACTATGATGGTGATTATATTTATGATGATGATTACGATGACGCAGATACTACTACTACTACTACTACTACTACTAATAATAATAATAATAATAATAATAATAATAATAATAATAATAATAATAATAATAATAATAATAATAATAATATTATTATTATTATTATTATTATTATTATTATTAACAATAAATAAATAAATAATGAAAGAAAACTATACCGTACACTAATAATCGTTAATAATAAAAACCTTCATTCAACTGTGCTTATTCTTCATATTCATGATCCTATTCAATAATAATTATTGATACATTATTGAGTATATTTATGAGAAACAATAATGCATAGTCTTTTTTTTATTTTCTGTTTATTGTTGTTGGTACCATAGTGTATTAGACACAGGCATCGTTACTAATACCGTACTGCCTAATGTCAATATAGCACGCAGATTATCGGATGGGTAATGTGATGGCGCCCTGTACAATTTATCGTTGAGAATACTGTATATTGATATTTGTAGCATCATTTACCTTTGCTAGTAAACGTAGCTATCATCCGAGCAGTAGAAATAACGACTAGGCTCTCAAGAACACAAAAAAACCATGAATTATATTGATATAACTATGTAATAGTCCTATAGTTTATAATATAAACACATTTATATATAATGTATATATATATATATATATATATATATATATGTGTATATATATGTATATATATATGTGTATATGTATATATATATATATATATGTATATATGTGTATATATATGTATGCGTATATATGTATATATGTGTATATGTGTATATATGTGTATATGTGTATATATGTATATGTGTATATATGTGTATATGTGTATATGTATGTATATATGTATATATATATATGTATATATGTATAAATGTATATATGTGTATATGTATGTATATATGTGTGTATATATATATATATAAAAGTCGTTGAAACAAAAAATTATGACAACAAGGCATGTAGACTGTAGAACACTTCATTTATTTTCGAAAGAAATTTTTGGCCAGTCCTCTGGCCTTCATCAGCTTATATATATAATACTTGAATATCGTTTGTTGGTATACACCTGAATGTTGTGTCAGGGATATACAGGGATATACACACCTCCAAATTCCGTTTGATAGACTGGACTATACACTTGTATGTCGTGTGTTAGTTTAGTTAAGCCCAACATCTCCTATACGTGTGCAAAGAAACCAGGACTGTGACAATTGCTTGGTAGGCAATGTAATGGGATGTTAGCATTCTCAACACGTTTGTGAACCTGTCAACGTTTACAATGCGCAAACACTTCTGCCTTTCTCCAGGAAATGGAGATTTAACATTATTTGTCAAAACCCTTTAAGCAAGCGGTCGACACTTAGAAGTGGCAGTTGATACCGTCACTCAGTCGTATCTTCACCGCCTAAATAAGGTACTATTACTTATTCAATATACTCTGGAGTGTAATGAAACTAGGCCTATACTTTACGAAAACCGCTATAATTTTTGTGTATGTCAGTATAATATCACCATTATTACCGTTGGTCCTGTGTGCAGAATCTTGGAGGACTCAAATCTATTCTATTTCTCCATAGCGCATGGCCCATGAGGACGTCAAAGGACGCAGTGTTCCTTTCGGAAAAATCAGTAGAATGTTTCTAGACGACTGCCCAATTCCCCACCAGAAGGACCCCAATGTAAATAAGTCTTTGGACTTTTGTAAGTTTCCTTTGTGTTTTTGACTTGGTGAAGCTAATCCAATTTGGTGATGCATGTGATTGCCCGCCATCTTATTACATACTTAAAAACTAATAATAATAATACTGTATTTCTAATTTAGACATGTATTGACCACATTAGGATTCGATCCCATGACCTTCCAATTACTATAATG